CCACCATTCGATTTCTCATCACATTTTACATCATATTCAATTAAAATACCTATATCGAATTATGTAAAAAAATGAGGGAAAAAATCTGTGTATACAACCATAGGCAGGGTTTGGCAAGGTTCTTTATTAGTAATAAATTTGTGATGAAAGCATTTACTTTCATAACCTTTTACTAGTTTTTAGCGTTTAATCTCTTAATCTATGGAAATGTTTTATATTTTAGTAATTGGTTTTTAATATCTAAAGTCTAGTTTTAAAGGTTATGTAGTTTTTCACTGTATTTGAGTCTCATTTCCTCATAAAAGAGGAGACGTTTGTATATAACACTTGAGTCCTCGTAATGTATTCCAAATGTAATACTTGTAAAGTAAAAAGTAATTGAATGCCTTTGTGTTGAATAAATGGTGTGTATATTAAATACCCGTTCATTGCATTCATTGTGATTAAGGCTGTGGACCGGCATTCACGTCAAGTCCAACAAGTGTATCGAGATCTACGAGAACGCATTTATATATATTGTGTTTGTATTGTATTTGGTCACCAAAAGGCCTCCTATACTGTAGTGTTTGCCTCCTAAGCCTCCCTTTACAGTACGAAACCCATCCCAAGAAGTGTTTCATCACAAATGAATACATAATTTGTGCAAACTATGCATTTTTAGTACGATTGTGTCGATTGCGCCAACTTTTACTCAATTCTCAAAGGAACGGTAGGGAACAGTAGTTTATGGAAATCTTAAATTACTTACAAAGTATCCCACATTTTTAAGTTTTCATTTTTCGATTTGATGCACAGGGTCAATACCAAAAAAACAAAATTTAATTATTATTAATTATTATAATTACTGACAACTATGGCAATGTTGGTTTAAATTGCAATTATAACATACATTATAAGCTATGTGTATGAGATGCGCAATAATTGGCACTTAATTTCTAGCTGTGTATTGCAATTACAATTGTACTTATTTCAAAATAAAGTTAATGTCAAAAGTATTTACTATTTTCAAAGTCAGTATTCAAATCTAAGAGTAACTAAATATTAGGCATTATTTTAATAAGTTTTCATTAATTGGTGACAAAAGTCTGGGATTGGATTCATGCCATCGATTGTGAGTCTATCGCAAGACATCAACAACTGTACCGTAAGTGCAGACTATTTGTTACAGAGTTAGGCTGTCTTTGCAAAGCCTTCGGACAGCAGTAGTGGTCACTAAAGCCGTATTCGCCGACAAACAACACCCCAACACCTGGTCGGCCGACACCAGACAATCTACTATTAGTCCATTTAAAGCGGTTTATCATAAATAGTTAGCGAAATGCTATTAAAAATCTATAAAAAACATTAATACAATTAATGATTATTTTGTGCTATTATTGTAAATCTCATTAATATGAATATCATCAATATTTAAATAACAACTCAATTAAATGATGTGAATAATGACATATTAATGACAATATGACATGCATTTTAAGTACAATTATATTTTAATCGCAGTACCAATGAATGCAAATTGTATTTACGATTTGAAAAATAAAGTTAATGACAAATGTATACTATTTTTAAAGTCAGTATTCAAATCTAAGAGTAATTAAATATTAATTTTAATATTCAACTTAAATAAACAATATGCGCATTCAACCCAAGCAAACAGTACCCCGGGTCATGTTTTTAATTGTCAATTATGTATCTGATTTTAATTACAAATCTATTTTGCAACTATTTTTTGTTAATTTAATACTGTGTTGTAAACACCAGGGTTATTATTGATTGATTTGATTGCCACCCAAATATCAAATCAATTAATAGTGAAAATGTGAAAAGTATTGCCAATACTTTAGTCATTTCATAAATAGCAAACAAATATTTTTGAATACAATTTTGTAAACCAAATAACCGTTTTTACGAGTCAATTGAAATACAGTCTGTTTGTTAAATGAATTAAATATTTTTATTAAATCAAATAAAATGATATATATATTACTATAAATTAAAACAGTACTTATTTCTCTTAAATATGTTAACATTTGCATTGCATAGGATTTACAGAATATTCTGTACTATTATTCCTTATGTTTGGCAGAATTGTTGAGAATATCAATGATCTCTTGATTGTGGAAGTGTTGGGCCAACTGAAGGGCATTCCTGTCGTATATATCGGTCTTCAGTTGATTGACACTCTGATTGACCAGAAATCGCACCACATTTGGCCGATTCATCTCAATTGCCTGTCCATCACATCAATTACATTAACTTATAAGACAGACACATCAGTGGACAGGTAGTCAACACTTACCACATGTAGAGGTGTCCTACCGAACGAGTCGACAGCATTGAGGTTAACCCCCATCAGGCAGAGGGTCTCCAATCGTTTGACGTTCCCTTTGGCCGCCGCCCTAAACACAACATTCAATTAATACTAAGCCTCAGTGGACGGTTAGGTTGAGAGGGAGGACTCACTTCGTGGCCATATTGGCGGCTCTGACGGGACTGACATCCAGGTGCGCCCCCGCCTGTAGTAACATCTCAATGATCTCTTTGAGGTCGTGATGGATGGCTATCTGTAGGGGTGTCTCGAAGTTCCTGTCCTTCGCGTGAACGCTGGCACCTGTATGTCATGGGAAAGGGGTTTAATATCTCATAAATCAAAGTTTATTCACAAATTTAGTCGAAAAGCATAGGAATAGCAATCGCATCGATTCGTCAACTGATACATACATTGAGAGCACCGGTAGGTGTTAGTAAGACATAGAAGTTACGGTAGCTTTTAGTTAGTCATTCATTTAATGATAAATAAATATTGTACACAGCTTTGACAATTTAAGCAAGGTTAGCGATTAGTATAACCAAAAACAGTAATTACCCTGGTAAATAGTGGTTAGTATTAGTCTAAAAGTTTGTTCAATACCTTCACTCAACAGGTATTCGACAACTTCTTTGTGGCCGTTGGACACCGCTATCGATATAACACAAGTGATCATCAATTGATATCATCGGTGGTCAACACCTGTAAGACCTGACATACCGGTGTGGAGTGGAGTCCTAAGCTCATAGTCGGCTGAAGAGAAGTCGACGGCAGAGCTGTCGCGAAGTCGGATCAGTTCGTTGACGTCACCCTTGGCTGCGATGGCGCACACAATGGCCGGGTATAAGGCGTTCCTCAGCGCTGACATCTCCTGCGATGTGGACACCCGTAGACTCTGCGCTATACCGCGGATCAGCTCAATGTCCTCGTATTTGGTGTCCAAATAAGAGCTCATTTCTCCGCACAAATTGGTTTCAATTATCTATAAAAACAAACCAAAACTCTTCAGTCAAACAATGGCTGATTATTATCTACTAATAATGTCTTAAGATATCAAAAAGTGGTAATACTTTGCGTTTGTGTTTGAGATCCCATTCCTGTTTGCTGAGGACGTACGACAGTTTCGTGAGACAGGCCTCGGGTGTCATGTCGGAGCCGGATATGACACCGGCGTCTACCAGTGCGTTACCCGTCTCATAGCTGGCCATCACCTGTCCGTTCGCGCATTGGGTTATATTGACGATAATGACACCCCTGTCCGACGCCTTCCGGAACTCCTCCAGTATATCCTTGCGATTAGAGGGCGCGTTGCCGGCGCCGTACGTCTGCAGGACTACCCCCTCGATGGGTGGCATCAGAAACGCCCGAACCTATCGATTGGGAAGTGATAGCAAATTAGACATAAGAAGCGATTGGATGGACAGGTGTGTTGGCGGCTATGCCTACCGTTTCCACTGATATACTCGGGAATAGTCTCAAAAGTCCCACATTTCTGGACAGCACTGAATGGACACAGAATTTGGCGATTGTTGGCCACCGGAAGACATTATTCCAGTCGACTAATGGATGGACAGGTATGTCAACATAATTCTAGTTAATCATTGGCTAGTATACCGTTAATATTGATGCCAATGGTGGCCAAAGGGGGCATATTTGGTGAATTAAAAGCATCCAGGTGACTGGCGCTCACTTTGGAGGTCCTGTTCCCTCGCATGAGCTTATTGTTGAAAAGTATGGTCACCTCTGGTATGCAGTAATTGCCGGCAATGATCAGCGAATTCAAGAAGTTCTCTCTGCCATCACTTCTGGGCTCAAACAGCGGGATCTGACTGCCGGTGATGACCACTGTTTTGCCCAAATTCTCCAACATATAAGACAACGCCGACGCTGTGTAGGCCTTCCGGAACAAGTGATTAGCAAAAAGTTTATTTCATTTTATTATTGTTGAGATTTCTGTGACCGGAATTTGATTACTGGATGCAATAACTTAATTAGCCTTCAAAACACTTATACAATAAGTGTTGTAAAAAGTGATATCTTATCAGATCATGAATTGCATCAAATTTTCATAACCGGTTGTAATGAATAGGAAATAGTAAGTGAATAGTCGTATAAATAATATGCAATTTGTGACTATAAATAGTAATTAGGAAATTAAATTTCACTGCAATTATCAATTAGATTAGGAAATGCCGTGAATTTTATAAACAATTATAAACACAACTAATAGATAACAGATTGCAATACCATGGTATCGGTTCCGTGAAGTATCACAAAGCCGTTGAAGTGGTGGTAGGATTGCTGTGAATTAAATAATAATTTCTTATCAGTACTCGCGAGTGACAATGAAATTATGAGTTCCCGTTCACGGGTGGTGTACCTGAATGTCGAGCGCGATGTTGATCCAGTCATCGACAGTGAAATTGGATGAGTCCAGCAGTGGTTCGTATTCATAGATGGTGTACACCACTCGACTCGATTCACCCGTATCTCTGCAAATGTCAATCAATTTCTCTCATTAAACACATTGTGTTTGTATTTACACTAAAATTGTATTCAATTTTCGGTTTCTCTTATCAGTAATTTTGATCATCAAAAACATATTAAGAAATACAGTATATATGAAAAACATGTTTCTATTGCCAATTTTCGGTACATTTAGACCCATAGTGTACTTATTTATTGCTAATTGTAATTAAAAATAAAATTTAAGTCCAATTCCCTTCCGATTCTTATGAATAAAATTTTTCTCAAAATTCGTTGACTTATAAATTAAAAGGTAATTTGAAATTCTAAATACAAGGATCCCTTTCCCACAAAAACACTAACTTACTCACAGAATCGCTATAATAATAACAATTATTAAAAATATTATTCTTACGGCAAAACAAGCGGTGATTTATCGGCAGGCATTCCCAGGTGTTTGACCACATATTCCGGGTCATGGAGCTGTGGATACTTCTTGAGGGCCGGCACTAAAGCACCGGCTTTAGGCTCATAGGCTATAAAAAATAATTAACAATCAAATACACCATACAATTAACACCACAATCCCTGTCCAGACATACCTCCCCTTGCATTCTTCATCATTCCGATGGTTCCGCCCGAGAATAACACCAATACTTTGCTCTCATTAGCCAAAGAACCGGTCGATTCCGCGCGAGTTATCGACTTATTCTTCCGGAGTATCTTCGGCTCAAACGAGGGATCGANTGTCCAGACATACCTCCCCTTGCATTCTTCATCATTCCGATGGTTCCGCCCGAGAATAACACCAATACTTTGCTCTCATTAGCCAAAGAACCGGTCGATTCCGCGCGAGTTATCGACTTATTCTTCCGGAGTATCTTCGGCTCAAACGAGGGATCGATAATCGAATTGATTCGATGCCGACGACCGGTAGGGTTGGGCAGATCGCCGACCACCACATCCGGGTCCGAGTCGGAGCTCAACTCGTACTCGACCTCCGGATACGTTTCAGTAGTCATTGCTTTTGATTTCTTTAATATTTGAATCAATTATAAGAAATGTTGGAATTTATTATGAATTATAGAAATATTTTTCGCACAAAAGTATTGAAAACTATTCACGAATTGAGATGTTATTGAAAAATATATGTCAAATCTGACGACTAGTTTGTGACTACAAACACAACTTTGAACTGATTTCCCAATTCTTATCATACCTTATATACCAATCAAACCGCCGATCGACTCGTATGATTGTCGCCCCGCCGTTGAGCGCCGTTACTCGACACCAGTGTCTGGACCCTCGCACCCGGGAGTCCAAAGTAATGCCAATTTCATGATTACATCATATGTTTTGATTACATAAGTGTATTGCCTCTCAGACTCAATACCAAAATATTCTGACAAATACTACACTATTTTTCGTGTGCTATAGTAATAGTGAAACTGATTTCACACTCTCATTAGGATAGGAAAGTAAGTGTCAGTGAGTCTGTCCCTAACCTCCATGTGCTAAGCGATTGCGCTAATGATATCGCCACTGATATGTATATATATTCTGTATATAGAATTGTACGCATAGTATGGCACAGGCATCGAGAATATAGTGCTTATGAATGCAATTAATTCTGTAATCATTTGTTGACAATAAAGAGCAGACGGTTTGTCTCATTTGAATCACTTGTCGCCACTTTATCTATCAGTCGCTGTGAATGTGATATAAAGTAATTAAATGAAATGGAAAGGCGTTATAATCTTCATTATGTGTATACCCGTCCCACCGCTCAGGAAGTACTCGAGAATTAGGTCACTGTCAGAGTATTGCTGTTTTGCACTCATTTCGCAGCATTTTATGTGTGAATTGCAGTCAAGAATTGGGCGTTAAATACGAAAATATTCTCATTTTATAACTTAAAATAGTAGTGAATATTATTTTTATCTAGCAAATTATATTCAATTAATGCAGTATTCAATAAATATTCTTGCTCATGCGGTTCAATAACAAAATATATAACCCATAAAATATTTTGTTTCATAAGAATATTCTCAAGAATCTATAGAATATCTATTTAATATTTCCTATTTAAATGACCATGATGTTAATTAATCGATACAAAGCAGTGTTAATTTGAATTATATTTTATTACACAAAACGGAAATACAATTTGTTTTTCATAATAATTTGTTAACAATATATGAATTTAAAATTCGTAGTAATCATAACAAAAAAATCAAAATAATCGACAGTAAACTCAAAAAATACTTATCCATTAATAAAGAGGTATAATTAAAAACAACTGAAAAAATGTGTTTGTTTTGGGAGAAAACAATTTTTACAATAAAAATGTCATTTTGTTTGTTCAAAAAATTATGTGATATAATCATAATCCAATAGTTTTCAATAATCAAAAAGTCATAATAATTGTAAAAATCATTACTAAAAACATGACTAAAATTGTTTTTTGTATTTTTGTTTGCTTAGTATCGCGATAGGGAAGCGCAACTAATATATCAGTTTTTGAAATTAATATACTGTTTATAATCCGTTAATCAATAATAAAATCATCCGGTTCTTAAGGTCTTAATTTGTGTTTTTATACCGAGGTCTTCGTTATGATAGAGAATTATATATAAATTTCAAATACAATTAGTTTCTTATGTATATTATATAATATATTCAATAATAATCACTACAATTATAATAATCAATAATAATTAATCCATTTGTTTACGACTGTTAGACAGTATTAGCCAGGAAAAAACATTTTGTGCAAATAATTAATTGCTGTTTCATTGAAAATAATTAAATAACTTTTTTTGTAATCAGTTTTTTTTCAGTAGTTTTTCTTATATAAACATTATATAATTATGCGACAATTGTCTGACTTTTTCATATTTATATTTATATATATTTATAATTTACGTAATACTGGAGAGTATTGTCAATTGTGTGTTATGTGTTTTGTGGTGGTGGTGTGTATTTGTGATCGTGGTGAAACTTCATCAACATTAGCATTACATCCATTTGTTATCCAATTATAATTACACTATTTATAAATTGTTAATAAATTATATAATCATTTCTTTTTAGTAATTAATTGTTTTTTGTTATAACAGAGACGCCAATAGCAGTGGTGGGCACTGACTGACAGACACTTCAGAAAAATGCAGTAATAATCATAAGTATTAGTCGTTTTTTGTAATCAAATTTAAGCACAAATCTCTCAAATGGTTTGCGTTTTTAAAAAACAANTTCGTATGCTATAGTAATAGTGAAACTGATTTCATACTCTCATTAGGATAGGAAAGTAAGTGTCAGTGAGTCTGTCCCTAACCTCCATGTGCTAAGCGATTGCGCTAATGATATCGCCACTGATATGTATATATATTCTGTATATAGAATTGTACGCATAGTATGGCACAGGCATCGAGAATATAGTGCTTATGAATGCAATTAATTCTGTAATCATTTGTTGACAATAAAGAGCAGACGGTTTGTCTCATTTGAATCACTTGTCGCCACTTTATCTATCAGTCGCTGTGAATGTGATATAAAGTAATTAAATGAAATGGAAAGGCGTTATAATCTTCATTATGTGTATACCCGTCCCACCGCTCAGGAAGTACTCGAGAATTAGGTCACTGTCAGAGTATTGCTGTTTTGCACTCATTTCGCAGCATTTTATGTGTGAATTGCAGTCAAGAATTGGGCGTTAAATACGAAAATATTCTCATTTTATAACTTAAAATAGTAGTGAATATTATTTTTATCTAGCAAATTATATTCAATTAATGCAGTATTCAATAAATATTCTTGCTCATGCGGTTCAATAACAAAATATATAACCCATAAAATATTTTGTTTCATAAGAATATTCTCAAGAATCTATAGAATATCTATTTAATATTTCCTATTTAAATGACCATGGTGTTAATTAATCGATACAAAGCGGTGTTAATTTGAATTATATTTTATTACACAAAACGGAAATACAATTTGTTTTTCATAATAATTTGTTAACAATATATGAATTTAAAATTCGTAGTAATCATAACAAAAAAATCAAAATAATCGACAGTAAACTCAAAAAATACTTATCCATTAATAAAGAGGTATAATTAAAAACAACTGAAAAAATGTGTTTGTTTTGGGAGAAAACAATTTTTACAATAAAAATGTCATTTTGTTTGTTCAAAAAATTATGTGATATAATCATAATCCAATAGTTTTCAATAATCAAAAAGTCATAATAATTGTAAAAATCATTACTAAAAACATGACTAAAATTGTTTTTTGTATTTTTGTTTGCTTAGTATCGCGATAGGGAAGCGCAACTAATATATCAGTTTTTGAAATTAATATACTGTTTATAATCCGTTAATCAATAATAAAATCATCCGGTTCTTAAGGTCTTAATTTGTGTTTTTATACCGAGGTCTTCGTTATGATAGAGAATTATATATAAATTTCAAATACAATTAGTTTCTTATGTATATTATATAATATATTCAATAATAATCACTACAATTATAATAATCAATAATAATTAATCCATTTGTTTACGACTGTTAGACAGTATTAGCCAGGAAAAAACATTTTGTGCAAATAATTAATTGCTGTTTCATTGAAAATAATTAAATAACTTTTTTTGTAATCAGTTTTTTCAGTAGTTTTTCTTATATAAACATTATATAATTATGCGACAATTGTCTGACTTTTTCATATTTATATTTATATATATTTATAATTTACGTAATACTGGAGAGTATTGTCAATTGTGTGTTATGTGTTTGTGGTGGTGGTGTGTATTTGTGATCGTGGTGAAACTTCATGAACATTAGCATTACATTTGTTATCCAATTATAATTACACTATTTATAAATTGTTAATAAATTATATAATCATTTCTTTTTAGTAATTAATTGTTTTTTGTTATAACAGAGACGCCAATAGCAGTGGTGGGCACTGACTGACAGACACTTCAGAAAAATGCAGTAATAATCATAAGTATTAGTCGTTTTTTGTAATCAAATTTAAGCACAAATCTCTCAAATGGTTTGCGTTTTTAAAAAACAAATTTCTCGATAAAAAACAATTAATAATTCATTAGAAAAAATTCAATTAACCAAATAAACAATACGTAAAACTTAAGTTTAGTTTTGTGTGTATGCTTTTGTATTATATAATAATACACATAACAATTAATTAAACAAAAATGCAAATTTTCTATTGTATTACTACTCCAACGACATAATCATAATCATAATAATGACTTCAATGAGAGATAAAAACTCAATAAAATTTAATAATAATAATAAACTTATCGTTAATTCGACTCTTGTTTTGTTAACGTATGGCAACAATTGATCAGTTTTTTTAGTAATAATTTTTTCATATATATAATAATTGTATTTTTTTTGTATATATAAGAATCAAATAAAAAAATTATCCATAGATTTGGTATATATTTTTTTCATATATAATATGTATATTTATAATATATATAAGCACTTAATGGTATGAAAAAACAACTCATGTTTTCAAATCAGATTTTCCCGACTCTTTTCCAATGGTTTTTCGCCAGTAATGGGAAAATGAGTTCTCAATTTAGACAATGAATTTCAATATACAATGTGTCCAACAGTTTAGTGTTAATTTGCAAATCACTACCAATTAAAGCACAACCGATTGGTGGTGTGGGGTAGGGGGCTGGGAGGTCGCCCACAGGCAGGCACACACACACA